TTAAGCAAGTACACAGCTGAAAATGAAAGAAACATAATCATAGATAATACACATGAACTTTGGAAAAAACTATCGCACCTATGTCTGCAACATAACAAAAAGCTGGAACAGTTAAACAATTCAACTATAGGGATATTAGAGACATAGCCTTGCAATAATGAGAACTAGAAGGTAAAAAAGAGCTTGAGGAACTCAATCGATTTTTAATTAAACATTTTCCAACCCAACGAACACAGCTGAATTCAGGTGAGGGAAACAATGAAAAACCGGCAACAAAAAATCATTTACTAGAAGACTCACCAGCTTTTTTTCTCAACTTGAGAATTTCTGCTAGACTAAAAAAAAAAAAGCATTCACGCAATCAGTTAGAGCTAACGAATAACATTTTTCTGCTTTGGAAAAGAAATATACCATATAACATGCCGAAATCTAATTACATAACGGGGGTCACAAGTGCTCAAGGTAACAGGCAAGTCTGATGCAGACCATTTTGGCGATTTTGGACCATTTTTATGGAATACATGGGTTTTCAGCTCCAAGTGCGCCGGACTCTAGAAGGAAACAGCACTAGTTTACGCAACACACAAAGTGTAGGCAGTTTTTTTCGAATCGTTTCAATACAAGTTAGGAGCTACTTTGTACATCGCCATGCATTCTAGTAAAAAATCAACATTTGAACAGATCACAAAGACACTGTACGAACTGTAATATGGTTAAAGAAATTTCTTTTGTTCCTGCACGCAATAAGTGGTCAATCCTGATTGGATAAGATCTTGTCTGTTTCGCTTTTAACCTTGCTCACTCTGAGTAAGGATCAGCAGAAGGCGAGGTAGCTAAGCTGTGCTTGTCATAGCTCGAGAAAATAGCGGACGATTTTCCACGTCAAAACAAGAACGATGCTAATTAACATTTTTAAATAAACACCCCTTTATATCTTATAACTGCCAAAAAACGGACAATTGTTATGAAGACGGGAACTTTACATAGATCGAGGTAAGCATGTTTTCAAATTTAAAAACATAATGAAAGAAAGAAAACTGTAATAACAACCAATGGCTCAGCTAGCTTTCTTATGAATTTGAAAACCCCTGCGGATAACACACATTTCGATCTCAAAAAATTCTCCATATTATACTTGACCTCATCCAATAACTGCTAATTATTCGTTGAAATATTTTCCTGTTTCTCACTGGCCTAAATCCCAGCGCTATTTCCGAAATTCTAAAACATAAGGCACTCTCAAGGATAATTGTGCTGAAAAAAAATAACAGAATGCGTGTTGCAGTTGATTTGTTTTGTAAAAAAAAAATAGTCACACTATTTCCTAAAACATAACAAGCACAGTAATAATAGCACTGATGATAACTGGTATTTGAGGCCGAATATCTGCTAGACTACAACCCTTTCCATCGTGAATTTCGGATTCTTCCCTCCTATGTTATGATGACATCGATCGAGGTAAGCATGCTTTTAAGTGTGAAATATTTTTAAATGAAAAATAAAATAATTAGTGGGTTCGGTTTTCCTATGATTTCAATAAATTAATGAATAATTACGAAGCTATTGGAGGGTGTTATTCTCCTCGCCTCGCCCCGATCTGTATTATTTTTCATATCGTTCTAAGCCATATTTAGTGACTGCTACAATCCCGGACAAAACTACTTGAGAAAGTTTTCCCCATCATGTCCACTTTCCTACGAAAAAAGCTATTTCCAAAACAACGCCTTTCCGGAAAGAAAACCCCTTCCCTCATTTTGATGTTGCTTCCTACAAACGCCCAGGGATCAGGCTTTCTTTTGAATACACAACAACGCTGCTTTCAGGGGAGGGGGAGAGGAAAGAACCGGTACAGCTACCATGTTTAGGAAAATGCTTCCCAAGTATGCAATTCTCTCAACAGTTTTGTCCAAGATTGTAGTTACTATTCTTAATTACCTCTTGCACATTTTCTGATTGCTGTTTTCCTTCTATTCAAATGGCTTGTTGGTTATTCTGGAAACAAATGTAACCTGTATTAGGCTCAAGTATATTAAGCGGACACCCTGCATTAGACCCAAATTTGTTCCCAGGTTTTGCGTGAATCTACTCTGTCTGTTATTCACGTTACTAGCTGCTATAGGTTGACAAACTGTCAATTTACAAATGAACCAAACCGTGAAATATCAAGGGGCGTTTTCCAGAATCACGGGATTTTCGGGCAAGCGTTTCCTCCCTCCCACCCCTCCTCGTTCCCCCTTTCGATTATCCATTTCTTTTGCTTTCCCTCCAACTCAGTAACTCAACTAAAAACGCTTTCTGATGAAGGCTAATCGATCTTCCTTGACAATTGTCGTATTGTCCAATATTATAACCAAAAATTGATTTTAATTTTAGTATAATAATAATAACATTTAATACTTATATTGCGCTTTTTCTATAAAAATACTCAAAAGCGCATTACAATATTATTAATAACTAAATTAAAAACCAGTAAAATTACCCGGTAAAATTACAATATTTAAAAATAAATAAATAAATAATCTAACTAAAAGCCTTCTTAAATAAATATATTTTAACGGAGCCTTTAAAAGAGTCGATTGATGTTTCCTGTCTTATTGGCAGAGGAAGACTGTTCCATAAAAAGGGGGCAGCCATCGATAACGCGCGATCTCCCAAAGTCTTCTTCGTTCTTAGCCGAGGTCTTTCTTACCCAATCGGTGAATAGCACTTTTCGCGCGTTTTGATTGGCTCCTGTAACTCGGAATATCCTTGGCTATTCACTAATTTGTGACCGGAGCCAAGATGGCGTCTCGCTTCGAGACATTTCGGAACACGAAATTTGAACGATAAATGAAGCAGTCGTACAAACAAATACCAAGAAAGCGACTAACTTTGCCTCATCGGTGTCTACTGGTATGGGTAGAAAATTATTTTCATGCTGAACTTGCAACAAAATCGAAAAATGCACTTGACAAAAATTTACCAGAATGTTTGTAAATTGTAAAAAAAAACCTATTCAGTGACATTTTTAATTTACAAAAAGGTACTTTTTTTCATTTTTTATCCAACCGATTTGGTAAATACTAAAACAACTATCCTCCTCAGGGTCGCTGACCAGCGCTAGATATATACCTCAACACTTCGCGTCTCGGTATATTTTTCCACCACTATTCGCCTCCCCTTCAGGAGATAGTTGTAGAGTATTTATTGATTCATGACATACTTTAAAGTCAATTAAAAAGTTGAATATTTAACCAGACGTCCCCATAGCTAAAAAGAAACATATTTGTTCTTAGTGCGATTTGAATCTATTAAACATTAATATCCATATTTAAATGTTTCTACATAGTTTATACGATAACCTACGCAGAAACATACTTGCTCTGGTGGATCTAATCTCTCCTCTTTGTACAATGTGGCTCCAGAAGGACCGCTAAAAAATTAAGAAATAAGGTATCGTTACATCTGCGTTGGACATCATTCAGAGGGCAAATTCGTTTACAGCATATGCGTATAACCGACGCATTTGCCCGTTAAAAAAAAAAAAAAAAACTTGTCACGAGCAAATAGCCTGGTTATACGCGTACGTTGCAAATGAATCCACCGTAAAGGTATGGACAAAAAAGGAGATAAATTAGTAACATTTAGGGTAAGCCTTCAAGCAAAAAAAAAAAAATTCTCACTCAAATACTGTCAGTTTACCTTTTCATGTTTCCACGGCCTTCGCCCCGCGGCAAATGCACCCTGATAACTTTGAAATTAGGTGTGGAGTTCCACAGGCCGATGGCGAGAACAAGATTAAAGGGACAGGCCGCAAAACAGGTCACGTGACCTTCCACTTCAATTTCGGTTAAAAGTTCACCAGATTTGACGTTAAACAGCTGAACAGTTAAACAAAATCCAGAAATAACGCATGTGTCGTCACTGATAAACGTACAATGCCAATAGTGGGTAAATGTAAAAGGACGTAAAGTACGGAGCGTGTTTCCTGTTTCGGCATCTAAGACTAAGGTGCCGTCAGTCGTGCCAACAACAAGGAACTGTTCCATAGGTGAGAAAGCCTCACCCTTGTCATAAGGGTACCTGTTAATGCCTTCCTTTCCCCAAACAACTGTTTTGCCATCCAAAAGCTGAAGAGAGTAAGAACAAGGACGAAGAAACTGAGTTGCCTCAAGAGTCCTTTGAATGAACAGCTGACATTTACTGTTGCAAGTAAGAACTTCTCCTTGTAAAAGTGGGATTGTTGACACAACTTTTCCACTGATTGTATCTAGGACTTTCACATCAACCTCTCCTACGACTGCTACTCGTTCCTCTGATATAGGGATCAGTTTTTTGACCCCAGGCAAGTTGATCCACCTTTTGATTCGTTTATCGAGGTTACCACTCCACAACTCAACAGTGCTTGCATTCGTTAAGATTAGGGCTCCACCTCTAACAGGACACAAAGGACGGTACAGTATACTAACAGGACACAAAGGATGGCGCATTATGGTTATCCATCTGCAGTTTATCTCAGCTTTAAGCTTCCCACTAGACACGTCATAAGCAGTAACTGATGGGCCACTAGCAACAGAAACGGTCTGGCCATCCAAACTGAGTGCTATCCCCTCAGCTTCAGTAGCTACGCCTTGATCGTTTCTGTTTGCGTATTTGGTATCCACCAGTTCTATTTCACCCACAAAGGGACGTAGCAGACGTTGCTTGTCAAGACCAAACGTCCATAGAAACTGAGGATCTTTTGTGTCAATAAGTTCGCCAAATAAAAACCCACAGTCATTAACAGATTCAAAAATATAGGCCTGACTTATGATCCCAGGTAAAATACATTCCTTTGTAGGGTGGAAAACAACAGAGCGGAATAATGACAACGTGTCTCCTAAAGGTAAATTTCTATACCCTTTGCCAGTACAGCTCCTCTTGATCCTCTTCTCTACTACGACTGGACGTGTCCACATTAGCTTTCCAGTATGGAGTGACCACAGCTGCAGCATTCCGTCGCTACATTCACACACCATATAATCCAACTGTGGAGAGACGTCCGAACAGATCACTTCAGATGAACATTGAAATTGGGCTACAACACCTCCCTGCTGCGTCTCCTTATGAACAACCTCCATATATGGTATTTCAGGATACTTATTTCGCAAAAGATTTGACGCCTCAACAGTCAACACTTTTCCTCCTTGGTTAAGTATGGTTTCAAGAAACCTGCAAGGGGTATCTGTAAGTAAACGGAGGTTCTTCCTCAATACAAACAACAAGGTGTCCACAATACTTTGGTTATCTTTTGATAACAACGGAAAAATCCCCTGCTTTTTAAGCCACAAAAGGTCCTCAGCCGCTATTGTGCTGTTAACGCCAGTCTTGGCATACACTACTTCTAAATCAATAATGTGGGCTTTTGTCAGTTCGTCCAGTTTATGTGGCTCTCTCTTGACCCCTTCCTGTAGCATGTGCTGTACATCATGATACAAAGCGTACCTCTCAGTGGCGCTAAACTGAAGGTTATCGACACCTTTAAGCTTCACATTTTCAAGTTCTTTAGTACACAGGTACGCAAGTAAGCGATGACCGTCGTTTTCATCCATGATGAATTCGTGCTCCCCATAACATGAAATGTCTGTTAACCAGTCTTTAACTGACTTGTGAATGACGTGAACACAATCGTCACGGATGGGCAGAAGTGCAGACACACTGTTCAAGGCTCTCAGTACTTTACGTTTTGTTAGTAGTGAATCGGTACCTGGTACTAATAATTTAGAAACAAACGCCACTGGCAGGGGCTCCCTTGAAGCGGTAATGGCAGATAACAGATTCATCAAATGTTCTTCCCTTACGTTAAGTTCCTTTATGAGTTCATGTTCCAAACGTTTGAAATAGGAATGATACACGGCAGAAATTCCTGAGGGTGAACTGCCGACAAGGCCTCCCTCGTGGAAAATTGATGGATTTTCCGTAATCGCCAATATGAGAAAATGAGCGTACAGCATCAGTCCTTCAGATTTCAACACTAGCTTTTCTATGAACTCGCCCACATTTTCTAGCTTGACCACGCGTAAAAAATACTCAAAAGCGCATTACAATATTATTAATAACTAAATTAAAAACCAGTAAAATTACCCGGTAAAATTACAATATTTAAAAATAAATAAATAAATAATCTAACTAAAAGCCTTCTTAAATAAATATATTTTAACGGAGCCTTTAAAAGAGTCGATTGATGTTTCCTGTCTTATTGGCAGAGGAAGACTGTTCCATAAAAAGGGGGCAGCCATCGATAACGCGCGATCTCCCAAAGTCTTCTTCGTTCTTAGCCGAGGTCTTTCTTACCCAATCGGTGAATAGCACTTTTCGCGCGTTTTGATTGGCTCCTGTAACTCGGAATATCCTTGGCTATTCACTAATTTGTGACCGGAGCCAAGATGGCGTCTCGCTTCGAGACATTTCGGAACACGAAATTTGAACGATAAATGAAGCAGTCGTACAAACAAATACCAAGAAAGCGACTAACTTTGCCTCATCGGTGTCTACTGGTATGGGTAGAAAATTATTTTCATGCTGAACTTGCAACAAAATCGAAAAATGCACTTGACAAAAATTTACCAGAATGTTTGTAAATTGTAAAAAAAAACCTATTCAGTGACATTTTTAATTTACAAAAAGGTACTTTTTTTCATTTTTTATCCAACCGATTTGGTAAATACTAAAACAACTATCCTCCTCAGGGTCGCTGACCAGCGCTAGATATATACCTCAACACTTCGCGTCTCGGTATATTTTTCCACCACTATTCGCCTCCCCTTCAGGAGATAGTTGTAGAGTATTTATTGATTCATGACATACTTTAAAGTCAATTAAAAAGTTGAATATTTAACCAGACGTCCCCATAGCTAAAAAGAAACATATTTGTTCTTAGTGCGATTTGAATCTATTAAACATTAATATCCATATTTAAATGTTTCTACATAGTTTATACGATAACCTACGCAGAAACATACTTGCTCTGGTGGATCTAATCTCTCCTCTTTGTACAATGTGGCTCCAGAAGGACCGCTAAAAAATTAAGAAATAAGGTATCGTTACATCTGCGTTGGACATCATTCAGAGGGCAAATTCGTTTACAGCATATGCGTATAACCGACGCATTTGCCCGTTAAAAAAAAAAAAAAAAACTTGTCACGAGCAAATAGCCTGGTTATACGCGTACGTTGCAAATGAATCCACCGTAAAGGTATGGACAAAAAAGGAGATAAATTAGTAACATTTAGGGTAAGCCTTCAAGCAAAAAAAAAAAAATTCTCACTCAAATACTGTCAGTTTACCTTTTCATGTTTCCACGGCCTTCGCCCCGCGGCAAATGCACCCTGATAACTTTGAAATTAGGTGTGGAGTTCCACAGGCCGATGGCGAGAACAAGATTAAAGGGACAGGCCGCAAAACAGGTCACGTGACCTTCCACTTCAATTTCGGTTAAAAGTTCACCAGATTTGACGTTAAACAGCTGAACAGTTAAACAAAATCCAGAAATAACGCATGTGTCGTCACTGATAAACGTACAATGCCAATAGTGGGTAAATGTAAAAGGACGTAAAGTACGGAGCGTGTTTCCTGTTTCGGCATCTAAGACTAAGGTGCCGTCAGTCGTGCCAACAACAAGGAACTGTTCCATAGGTGAGAAAGCCTCACCCTTGTCATAAGGGTACCTGTTAATGCCTTCCTTTCCCCAAACAACTGTTTTGCCATCCAAAAGCTGAAGAGAGTAAGAACAAGGACGAAGAAACTGAGTTGCCTCAAGAGTCCTTTGAATGAACAGCTGACATTTACTGTTGCAAGTAAGAACTTCTCCTTGTAAAAGTGGGATTGTTGACACAACTTTTCCACTGATTGTATCTAGGACTTTCACATCAACCTCTCCTACGACTGCTACTCGTTCCTCTGATATAGGGATCAGTTTTTTGACCCCAGGCAAGTTGATCCACCTTTTGATTCGTTTATCGAGGTTACCACTCCACAACTCAACAGTGCTTGCATTCGTTAAGATTAGGGCTCCACCTCTAACAGGACACAAAGGACGGTACAGTATACTAACAGGACACAAAGGATGGCGCATTATGGTTATCCATCTGCAGTTTATCTCAGCTTTAAGCTTCCCACTAGACACGTCATAAGCAGTAACTGATGGGCCACTAGCAACAGAAACGGTCTGGCCATCCAAACTGAGTGCTATCCCCTCAGCTTCAGTAGCTACGCCTTGATCGTTTCTGTTTGCGTATTTGGTATCCACCAGTTCTATTTCACCCACAAAGGGACGTAGCAGACGTTGCTTGTCAAGACCAAACGTCCATAGAAACTGAGGATCTTTTGTGTCAATAAGTTCGCCAAATAAAAACCCACAGTCATTAACAGATTCAAAAATATAGGCCTGACTTATGATCCCAGGTAAAATACATTCCTTTGTAGGGTGGAAAACAACAGAGCGGAATAATGACAACGTGTCTCCTAAAGGTAAATTTCTATACCCTTTGCCAGTACAGCTCCTCTTGATCCTCTTCTCTACTACGACTGGACGTGTCCACATTAGCTTTCCAGTATGGAGTGACCACAGCTGCAGCATTCCGTCGCTACATTCACACACCATATAATCCAACTGTGGAGAGACGTCCGAACAGATCACTTCAGATGAACATTGAAATTGGGCTACAACACCTCCCTGCTGCGTCTCCTTATGAACAACCTCCATATATGGTATTTCAGGATACTTATTTCGCAAAAGATTTGACGCCTCAACAGTCAACACTTTTCCTCCTTGGTTAAGTATGGTTTCAAGAAACCTGCAAGGGGTATCTGTAAGTAAACGGAGGTTCTTCCTCAATACAAACAACAAGGTGTCCACAATACTTTGGTTATCTTTTGATAACAACGGAAAAATCCCCTGCTTTTTAAGCCACAAAAGGTCCTCAGCCGCTATTGTGCTGTTAACGCCAGTCTTGGCATACACTACTTCTAAATCAATAATGTGGGCTTTTGTCAGTTCGTCCAGTTTATGTGGCTCTCTCTTGACCCCTTCCTGTAGCATGTGCTGTACATCATGATACAAAGCGTACCTCTCAGTGGCGCTAAACTGAAGGTTATCGACACCTTTAAGCTTCACATTTTCAAGTTCTTTAGTACACAGGTACGCAAGTAAGCGATGACCGTCGTTTTCATCCATGATGAATTCGTGCTCCCCATAACATGAAATGTCTGTTAACCAGTCTTTAACTGACTTGTGAATGACGTGAACACAATCGTCACGGATGGGCAGAAGTGCAGACACACTGTTCAAGGCTCTCAGTACTTTACGTTTTGTTAGTAGTGAATCGGTACCTGGTACTAATAATTTAGAAACAAACGCCACTGGCAGGGGCTCCCTTGAAGCGGTAATGGCAGATAACAGATTCATCAAATGTTCTTCCCTTACGTTAAGTTCCTTTATGAGTTCATGTTCCAAACGTTTGAAATAGGAATGATACACGGCAGAAATTCCTGAGGGTGAACTGCCGACAAGGCCTCCCTCGTGGAAAATTGATGGATTTTCCGTAATCGCCAATATGAGAAAATGAGCGTACAGCATCAGTCCTTCAGATTTCAACACTAGCTTTTCTATGAACTCGCCCACATTTTCTAGCTTGACCACGCGTTGAAGTTTTTTTAGGCAAAATACTCTGACATCTTCTATATTCTCTGCATCATTAGACTTCAGTTTAAGTGGCTTCAAATGTTTTAGTTTCTCTGCAATGCTTAAGGCTGGACGTGCCGTGACGAGAAAACGAATCCAAATAGGAAGCTTGCAAAACTGATTTGCAATCACATCAAGAAGCTCATTTCGTCCTTGATATTCGCTTTCATCCAAGCCATCTATAACCATGCGCATGTTTCTTCCTGGGTCACCTACAGCACTAAGAGGTTCCTTGAAAAGCAACGCAAACAACTCCTCTACACCCATGTTGTTGAGATCTGTGCCCAGATTTCTTGATAGTTGTGCCACAAGAGCTTGCTTGTACTGTGGCAGGGCATGGGACAAGTGACAGGCAAGCGACTGAATCATTAACTGAGGCTTACAGTAGCGTACATTGTTATACTGACAAAAATGGCTTCCTGACAGCCTACCAACCTTAGCATTCTCTTGCAAATCACAGCTGCGATGACAGATTTTCCCATTCCTGCATTTCCACTGATCACCATCACACGGTTTTGAGAGCTTCTGTCATCCAGCCACTTCTGAACTCTGTCAAAGACCCACTCACGGGTGCCTTCTTGAAATCTCTGCACATAATATTCAATGTCTCCACTGAATTCAGACTTGGTGAGATTTCTAAGGACCTCGTCTGAGCTATCTTTGTCTTTTTCTTCTTTTAAACTATAAACTGCTTCCTTTATTTCCTTAAGACCTGTTACAACTTCTCTCACGTTCTGATTCACTTCTTTTACGCGCCGTTGAGTTTGGGTATGTATGTGATGCATGTCTTCTACTCTTTTTTGAGTCTTGGCCTGGGTCTGATGTATGTCTTCTACTCTCTTTTGTGTCCTGTCCTGGCTCTGACGTATTTCTTTCACTGTCTCTTGAGTCTTCTCTTGTGCTAGACGTACATCTTGAACTGATTGATGCGTTTGGCTTTGAGACTGATGTATGTTCTTCAACTGTGTCTTGATATCCTCTTCACTATCAGCCCACTCAATCAACACGTCAATATAATCTTGCTCTCCACCTTTCTCTGCCTTCAGCCTATCAACTTCCGCCTGATCAAGGCCAAGACTCACAAGAACACCACTAATTTCAGTCCACAGAGCAGAGAAAGTTGTTGTATCAACACCAGTGGTAGTCACATGACCATACAAGACATTGCGATAGAACTTAACCCGTGCAAGGTTAGCCTCATGAGACGTGTCACTTGAGGGTGATTTAGTATGCCATCCTGAGGTGGGAGGGGTTAGTCTACAAATCTTAGTCAGAAGGAGAAACAAAAGAGTGATGTCAAAGATGTTGGAGTCTGGAGGGACTCCACCAGGTGGAAATAGTTTGTCCCACTGATGACCATTTAGAACTCGACGACGAAAGAGATTGTTAAGGATGGGGTAATTAGCATTTAAGTCAATAATCAAGTTTGCAGGAGGATGATGACCATCAAAAATCTTCCTAAGAACTGTTGTTCCACCGTCGATGAGAAGCCTGCTGAGCTTGGCTCCATTTGTCTTCTCCACAGAACTGGCCAGCGGTGATGGTGCTGCAGTAGCCATGAAAAGGGCCGCTACATATTCCTGCAGGGGAAAGAAAAACAATGCAAAATTGTTCCTGTTATCATCCTATTCTGAAGCAATTATTCCGGAAAAGAACTGGCTTAAGACAAGCATTAAATTTTCTAAATTTCTAATGCAGTACACTAGCCTCCAAAGTTGTCCTTAGCCTCTTTATGAAAGCGAATTCTAGTGCACCATGACTTTTCACGTGAAGGCGTGAAGGTGTGTAACATAATCTTCACGTGAATGGGAAGTGTTTTACATATAGTGTATGAATAAATGAGCACTAATTAAGAATCACTTTCAAGGAGAAAAAGAAGTGATCAATGTTACTGTGACTTGTTAACTGGAGTGCTTACGATCATAAAAATGATTTTTTTCCTATTAATTGAAATTTATGAAAAAAAGAGGAAATTACAATATCAGAATTCGTGTTACTAAATCTGCTTAACTAAATTAACCTCTTTTCTTTTTGCAGTACACACTCTTCGCTCATAGAAATTTGCATTTCAATTCCCATGAGTTACTCTCAGAACTCGATCTCAGTGATGCTGCAGCATTAGTCTGCGAGCTGTTGTCGTAATTTTCACCTGGGCAATAATCTTATCCAAAATTCAAGAATTAACTTTTTAAGAAATCATTTAATTACTGAATACAAGTATGCTAAATATTTATAAATATATCAAATGAAATCACCAACTTACCCCATGACATTGTCTTTGATCATTGCTTCAGTATTGTATTTCTCCCCTTCAGTCCACCATCTATCCAATCTGTCAGTCATGCAATTCAAATTAATTAGAGATCAAAACAATCTACAGTTCCAGCCCAGTATACAAAATACAGTGCATTCCCCTTAGTATTCTTAAGGGGTGAGGACAAAACATGGACCATGGGTCCATGGACCCCCTCTTTGGACCGGGTCCATGGACCACTTTCATGGACAGGGTCCATGGACCCCCTGTCATGGACCAGGTCCATGGACAATTTTTTTTAGTTTTATAAGAAGGTTTTGCACCCGGTCCATGGACACTCAAAAACAGAAATAGTGCCAAAAAAAGATTTGACGAGACGCTGTCGACCAATGCTCACGATTGATCACAAATATTTAGTTGTGCTTACATGACGTACAATCTGCTTGCACATGTGCAATCGCAAGACTGTTAAATTAAGCTAATTCAAAAGTTATCACCAAGGAAGGAATTATGCGCTCTAGTACAAAGACTCGCAACATGATTGAGTCACATCGCAATTCTCCATAGTTGATGTAGCATCAGTTTAAGCTACAATTCATGCTGTTCACGCCACTTCTTCTTCTTCGAGATCTGGATCTGGATCTGTAAATCACTATCCGTGAGAATTTATAATCGTCCCGCTACCCCCGGGGGGGGGGGGGCACTTGGGTATTTTTTGGGTGGGTATGTGCCGCCCGGGACTCCCAATTGGCACCCCGTTCTAAAAAAAAATTCCCCTAAAATTGATACCCCTTTCTAGAAATGGGCCAATTTTTTATACCCCGTTCAAGAATTCGCCCTAAAACTGATACCCCATTCTAGAAATGGGCCAATTTTTTATACTTCGTTCTAGAAAGTTTGTAAATTGAAATAGCCCTGTTTTTTAAAAAAAGATATTTCTTTATTTGTTCGACTTATACATCAAATAAATGCTTCATTAAAATCAGCAACAATTTTAAGCAGAAGATAAAGCCGTGATCCACAATTTTTTATACCCCGTTCTACAAAACGCCTCTGAAATGGATACCCCGTTCTAAATCAGGAGCTTTAAAATCACGACCCCGTTGGGCGGCACATACCCGTATAGGTAATGTATGGGAGTACCTCCCCCCCCCCCCTCCGGGTCCTGCTAAAAGCACTAAGGAGCTGGGCCCAGCGTGACAAAAGATTACAGGAAAAAGTGACATTCATGGACAAAAAGAAAGTGGCTGCATTAGAATTATTCAGATCCAGGATGCACTTTGGAGAACTTAAACAACCTAAAACCCTTTTGATCAGCCACAATGAACAGCTTTACATTTTAAAAGGGGTAGAAAATCAATATGTGTGTCACGACCTCTCAGTATGAAATAAGCGGCAAAAATTCACATTTGCTCAGTCAAAAGGTTTTCCTCCGAAGCATAATCTACCCATCAGAGAAAACAATTCATTGGAACAAGCAGCATTTTGGCATGAGGTACCGGCCCCACCTTTTTCACACTATGTAAGCACAATTAAACATTACTGATCAATCGAGCATTGTTTGTTGTTGCTATTTTTTTTTAACCTTATTTTTGCACTGTTTCTGTTTTTGTTCATTTCTCATTATTAAAAAAAATCTGTCCATGGACCCGGTCCATGACAGGGGGTCCATGGACCCGGTCCATGAAAGTGGTCCATGGACCCGGTCCAAAGTGGGGGTCCATGGACCCCTGGTCCATGTTTTGTCCTCACCCTTCTTACGATATGACTGTCTGATGGTGAATTAGCTTTGGGCAGTCCGGAATTTTTCCTATTTTTTTCTCTCTCCACCGTTAATTGTCATAACAGTAATAATTGAAGCATTTTACCTGGATAAACTACTAACTGAAAAAAACAGAATTTGTTTCATTAATATTTTTCAATATTTTTCTGGGAATGAGTTTGTTTTGAGCTCAGTTGTTTCCAGAGGATGGAGCTGAAAACGGCAGAACTATTGATTTGATTTTGTGAGGCAGAGATGCGTATAAAAATCAAGACCAGGAAAAATCCAACTCGATAAATTACAACTGTTATACAAGGAACATCTACTAAACTTATAAACATCCCTTTGTATCCTGAATTCGCTGAGGAGCAGACAAAATTTAATGAAGGCAGGAAACCCTGAGAGATGAATAACATCTGTTGCTCCAAAGACTTAATATAACCCATATAAATAATAAAAGAGCAGCAAATAACATGAATAAAGTACCTGAAATTTACATTTGCACACTTCATTTCATCACTGCACAGATTGGTTGATTTAGAAGAGATCAACAGTTGTATGAACTTTGCTAGGAAAACTTTTTCAAAATCTGATACCTGAAGATAAAATGTTGAGAATAATGTAAGTTATTTTTATTGTTTATGGTGAAAATACACTCGGTTGTTAGAGCTACAATCATCGTCAAAAATGTTGGGAAGGTTACCAATTTTTACCTTTTTGGTACTTGTCCCCCCCCGCCCCTGGATCAATGTTGGACAAAACTAAATTGTTTTTGTGCGTAATTGTTGTTACATGTCCCAACATTGAATAGGGGGCGCGGGGGGGATTCAGAAGAAGAACAAATAATCTTTTTTGAACATAGACATAAGGCCTATGAAATCGGGCAATGATGTTGTTAAGTTATTCCATCTTCCCAACTACTTTTGTCCGTGATTGTCTTGAAATTCTGGGTGTGGTCATGAAGAAACAAAAGTCGACGACTTTCTATAGTAAAGCACTTCTTTAAAAAAGACACAGAATTGGTACTCTCGTGAAAAGTAAGAGTTACTGTGCGTTGTTTTTATCATTTCAGGCGAAATAAAATGGCTAATACAATTAGGTTATGATTATTATTTTTTGGAACATAAGGGCATGTATTGTTATGATTATGTTTGTGTCGGGACGGCTTCAATAAGTGATATCTGTAAAGTATTTCACGTGTTTAACGTTCTGCTGTCATTTATGCGAAGGGGAGGAGTCGAAATTGTTTTGTAATGCGAAAGATAGTTTGTTTTGGCCTGTTTGAAAGGTCAACGGACAACGATAACAACCCTGAAAATGGCAGAGGTAAATGATAGTTTGCGAAACCGTGAGCAGCGACTTGTGTATCTTGTGACATATAGCAGAGCCGATGTAGAAAAAGTTGCGACAAGAGAAGCATTTGCCGAAAAGGTCTCGCTAGGGTGGATGGAAATGACGGGTGTTAAGGTTGCACAGTGGGTTGTAGCGCGAGAATTACACGCTGATGCAGGTGTTTCAGAAAGCAATTCCCATTATCACATGGCAATGAAACTGGAAAAACGTGCTCGCTGGCTGAAGGTACGCCAATTCTTAGACGACCGGTACGGCATAAGGGTGAACTTTAGCGCCGTACACAATACATACTACTCTGCGTACAAATACACCACAAAGGAAGATGACTTCTGTGTTCACTCAGAGGGCCACCCAGACCTAAGTAATGCGCGTCCACCGAGAACTGAGAAGGCAATCTCAGGAAACAAGAGAAAAGCAGTTGGCCGTACTGGGGGTAAGAAGACGAAACGAAAGCGTGGTCTTTCAGTGTACGAGGTTGCCCAGTTTATCCAGGCTAAGAACGTAAAATCACGGCTACAGCTTCTGTCTATAGCAGCTGCACAAAATCGGGAAGGGAAGACAGAGCTGGCGGAATTTATATGTAACAGGGGCGGAAAAGCAGTAGATGAGTGTCTGGCTATCGCGCAGGAGTTGGCAACTGCGGAAGCGAAGTATGAAAGGTCACTGAAGACCTGCATGCAACTTCTACACGAAAGCTACTCTGCCGAATGCGTTGCCAACTGTGAGGGAAAGTGGCTAGAGGCGGCAGTTAACCTCCTGAATAGAAATGAAATCAGCCTCAGTGTTTTCGCCCAAGCTGTCTTGACGTTGCTGGAAAAAGGAAGAGGAAAGTACAGAAACCTGTTTATACATGGAGTTGCCAATTGCGGGAAAAGTTTCGTGCTCGCCCCATTGAAAACCATTTATGGCACTTTTTGTAATCCCGCCACTGGAACTTTTGCCTGGGTTGGTGCAGAACACGCGGAAATTATTATGTTGAATGATTTTCGGTGGAAACCCTCCATAATAGCATGGGCTGACATGCTCCTTTTGCTAGAGGGAGATATAGTGCATTTACCAGCTCCCAAAAATTTCTCGAATCGGGACATTGAGCTTAGCAACGATACCCCTATCTTCGCAACATCAGACGCGCCAATTGTTTACATAAAGGGGGGAAGTGT